CGAGGCCTCCGTTGGCGGTAGCGAGGGGAGGGCGCGGAAGGGCCGCCGTCGCTTCGCGGTCCCTGTAGGACTTCCGAGCCCGGAGCCCAGGCCGGTTCGCTGGTTTCCTCCATCCGGGACACTGCGCACGCTCGTCCCCGCTCTGAAGTGAATACTCCAGAAAGAGGCCTGTCGTCTGGGGGAGCCAGATGCAGCCATGAAGGCAGAGACGCTGCCCCCGCCCCAGCAGACCCCGGCCGGGGCCGGGGCCGGGGCCGAGGCGGATGCCGATGCCGGCTGTTACTTCGGAAACCTGTTGAGTAGCCGGAAGCTGATGACTGTGGGCGTCTTGCTCGCCTGGCTCTTGGTCGTTCACTTTTTGGTCAACCTGTGGCTTCTGTGCCTTCTGTGTGCCTCGATGGTGGTGCTGGGAGGGTGGCTGGGCTCCACTGCCATTGTGGGGACTTCAGGGCGACTGCACCTGGAACGCTTTATCCCGGTGGCCACTTGCCCGCCCTGCCCCGAGGCAGAAAGGCAGCTGGAGCAGGAGATCAGCTGCACCATCCAGATGATCATCCGGGACTTTGTGCTGTCCTGGTATCGGCTAGTGAGCCAGGAGCCGGCCTTTGAGGAGGAGATGGAGGCGGCTATGAAAGGCTTGGTCCGGGAGCTTCGGAGGAGAATGGGCATGGTGGACAGACGTGCCCTCGCCCAGAAGGTGCTGACTCTCTGCGGCTGTCACCTGAAGAGCTTTATTCAGGCAAAAGAAGCCACGGTAGGGAAGCAGAGTGGTCCTGCTGAGGCGTCCCAGCTGTGGGAGGCGTACTGCCGGGCTGCTGGCCCACATCCTGCCGTCCACAGCCCCAGTGAGGAGGTCTCGTACACGCGGGGTGTGGTGAATTTGGTGCTTCAAGGGCTAGTGCCCAAGCCCCACTTGGAGACCAGGACCGGCCGCCACATAGTAGTGGAACTCATTACTTGCAATGTAATGTTACCACTTATCAGCAAGCTCTCGGATCCTGATTGGATCTACCTTGTACTTGTGGGTATCTTTTCCAGGGCCAGAAATGATCCAGCACAAGGCGCCAAACCACTCTCCCCAGCCAGTGTCCTGGAACAGCCCTCAATGCCCACATCTCTGCCACTGGTTGTTAAGGTAGAGAGTCTGCCAGAAGGGAAAGCCCCTTCTCCAGCCGGCCCACTGCACCTAAACTGCACTGAGTTGGAGGGGCCTTCAGGCCCCTCCTCGGAGGTTGAAGAAGGCCATGAAGCTCTAGAGGGAGATTTGAGTGGGATGCCTGAAGAAAGAAAAGACAGAAACAACCCAACTCATTTCCTACAGCCAGATATTCGAGGCCCCCTGTTTTTATGTGAAGACTCAGAACTGGAGTCTCCTCTCTCTGAACTGGGCAAAGAAACTGTCATGCTCATGACCCCAGGCAACTTCCTCTCTGACAGGATTCAGGATGCCCTGTGTGCCCTAGAGGATTCCCAGGTTTTGGAACCTAAGGATGGTGAAGGATCTGAAGGCACTGAGGGAGCAGAGGCTGAAGAGGGCCCAGGGGCAGAAACAGAGGCAGGCCTGTTGGTCTCCATGCTGAACTCCTGTCCAGAGATCCAGATTGACACAGCGGACAAGGAGGTAGAGCAGAGAGATGTCAGCTCTCTTACAGCTTTGCTGGAGGGACAGGAAAAGACCTGCCCTCCACGACCCTCATGTTTAGAGAAGGATCTCACCAGTGGTATGAGCTCCCTGGATCCTGCACTGCCACCGGTTCTGCTTTCCTCCTCTCCACCTGGTCCTCTCAGCTCAGCCACCTTCAGCTTTGAGCCCCTGAGCAGTCCAGATGGCCCAGTTGTCATCCAGAACCTTCGTATCACTGGCACCATTACCGCCCGAGAGCACAGTGGCACTGGATTCCACCCATACACACTCTATACTGTGAAGGTAATAGGATGAGAGCTGCGGCCACCCACTGTGGGCTGGGAATGGGTTTGGAAAACAGTCAATGAAGCTAATATTCTCGGGAGAGCAGACTCTTTTGTTTATTCTGTTTAACATCTATGTGAGAGTGCTCTGAATATAATTTGTAAGGCAGAGTAGAGGAGGCTCCTGTCCTATCCCCACACATAATCCTCAGGTCTAAGGTGGGCAACTGTACCTCAAACTCACTCGGACTGCTTTTTAAATATTCAGATTCTGACAGACTGTCAGATTCTGAATGATAATCTCCAGTGATATGTTCCAGTATTTTGTCTTTTTTAGTATAACTCGCCAGGTAACATGGAGAGAACCTGTCCTAAATCCATTTTGGGGTAACAACTGCTCTAATCTCACCACCCATTTATATCATTGCCAAGTGGTTCCCAGGTCTGTTCTTAAACACATCCAGGAATAAGGAATTTACTACCTACTGAGATAAATATAGGTAAATAACCTACCTTCTTAAAAAACGGACACACAGTGAAATTTCAGAAGTTCAATGTCTGGTCCGCTAACTAAGGCTAACATGAAAGGACTGGTATAACTTCATTAGTGTTTTGTTTGCCTTTTTGTTTTAATTTGGTGTGTCCCTATGATACACATTTTCTCACATAAAAGTGTTGCTTCTGATTATTACATCTTATGTGTTCTAACACATATTAAACGAAAAGTGGTAGAATTTTTAAATTCATAGTCTTCTTTCAATTTTTTCTTTTTTGTTGCTAAATTTTTTCCTCATTTGTTACTACTTACTCTAAAGATGCATTGGAAAAGGGTAAAAAAAAAAATATGCACCAAAATAATGTAACCAAATGTGTGTAGCTTGAGATTGGGTTTAGATTTTTATTTATTGGTTTATTTTGTGAGTGAGGGATACAGACAGAGAGAGGCACCCCGACAGAGTCTTGAGACTACAGGCCACCCCAGCTTCAGTCAGCCCCAAATCTTGGGTCCCTCCACATGTGTGATATATCAGGGAGGTCTCCAGATCTGAACTCCTCTATTTGGAAAGTATCACATTTCACCACTGTGCCACCATCCAGTCCTCCATTTAGATTTTTATATGTACATATTATAACTTTGACTATAAATTATATATTGATATTGTTACATTTTGTGATAGTAAAACAGTTTTCAGGTTCTGTGATGGAGTGAACATAGCAGTATTGAATATTGTCCCTCAAGGAGCAGAATGACTCCACGGAAAACATCACTCCCAGGAGCTTAGTGTGAAAGCCTCACCCTAATTCCACCTGTGTCTTCTAGTCTTTCCTTCCCAGTACTGGTCTGAGGGACTACTGCTTTACTCACATCAGCTCATAACAAATACCTCTCCTTCTCTAGCTCTGGAACATTTTAAAACATTACCCTCAAGCCCTGCCAACAAATATTTTTGTTTCATCACTTCCTTTCTCTATAATACCTCAACTAAACAATAGCAATAACCTACTTCTAATAAAAACAAACACATGTACAGTTCATCCACAGCATTGTACTATACCTTAACTATGCCATCAAAAACTTCCCTTCAGGCCAGCAGGTGGCATGGTGGTTAATGTGCTAGATTCACACATGGCCAACCACAGTTCAAGTCCTGGACCCAGTGGCTTTAACATCATGCCAGGCATGTGTGCATGCATGCCCAAAATCTCAGAAGGAGAATGCAAGAGAAGGGAGTGTGGTATGGCCATCTAGTGCAGCTTCCATGCTGTCCAGAGTGTTCGCACCATGCAGACAAGTAATCTTTTTCCCACATATCAGTCTTTCAAGCATGTGAAGGCAGCAAACTTACACCTTTTATAGCATTTATGATCGTCACATGACTTCTAATCATACAGATGATGTGTACTTAGGGGGAAAAAAAAACTTTTGCTAAGCTTTAAGATTAACAATTACGAAGATTAATTGCCTGAAGCAAAACAAAAGCATGTATCTCATTCATTCCAGGCAAACAAGTTTTGTTCATCTGCTATTAGAAATCTTTTGTTCTTTCCCCTAATTAATGCTCAACAGTGGCTGAATAATGAAACAGTGGTTTTTCCCCTTGTAATGTCCAATCTGGTGATAGAGGCAGTATCAATTTTATAGGTACTAAGCCTTCAATTTCTTACTCAGTGATTTGAAAAATAATTTAAAGCAAGTGTCTAGAGGAGGGAGCTTTCAAATGAAAGTATTAGTGGGAGACAGTGAAACTCATTTCTGACTTTCTGGGCCACTTAAATTAGGAAGTAGACCTCATTCCTTAATTTGGCCACCCTTGGAGTTTGAGTTATTCTTTACAACTCAGGGCAACAATCAAGTGTAATAGACTTTGGAACACAACAGGAGTATTTCTGTCCCTTTCTCCCTACTCTACCATTACTGCGTGGCCGTCAAACTAGTCATTAAAACCTTAATAAAAAATTGCCGAAACCTGGCTGATCTAGTCTACATATTTGTTCATTTGACAGTATGAGACCGCCCTTAACGGTGAGAACAGCAGTGGCCTCCAGCAGTTGGCCTACCACACTGTGAACCGCCGCTACCGAGAGTTCTTGAATCTGCAGACCCGTCTGGAGGAAAAGCCAGATCTCCGAAAGTTCATCAAAAGTCAGGAGTTCCCCAGCCCTGGATGGCCTGCTTACTTTTCTCATCTAGACACGCTAATCTTGGTTTGTGGGGAGGGACAGAGGAAGAGAATGGTGCAGTGAGGTTGTCTACTTCCCAAGTTTGCTTCAGGAGTTTTGGGTGTTAGTGCTGGACAGCACCGATCACATTCTTTCTGAGGTGCATTGCCACGGAGGTAGTCCTTTGCTTTATTCTGGAGCCCTGTCCATTTTAAGTGTAGAAGAGAAGTGTTCACATTTCTACTTCTGTCCATAAGGTAGGGTGAAGAGCTGAAGGAATTTTTCCAGATTCATGAATGATCACTCAAATATAAAATATCCAGAATCCTTGATGTCTTACTTTTTTTTTTTTTAACAACCAGGCTGTTGAGACCAGCAGATAGTGTAATGGTAATGTCTCTGGACTCCCATGTAGTCAACTGTGGTTCAAGTCCTGGACCTAGCGGCTTAAAACACACTGGGGGTGGTTTCTTGCTTTCTGTCTATTGTCTCTGGCAAGCATACATGTCCTGTAGCAAAAATCTCTCTTTGGAAAAAAAAATAACAGGCTGTTTTGTATACTATGAAGAACAGGGAAAAATAAGAGACTGTGATGAATTTTAACTTTAAAAATCAGCTAGTAATCAGCTACTTTGCTTTTTAAAAATGCTGGTGGTCAGGGTCAGCAGGTGTATGATTAAGACGTTGTACTCCCATGGCTGACTGTGGTTCGAGTTCTGGACCCAGTGATTTGAAACGCCAGGCACATGTGCATACATATCTAAAATCCTGAGAGGAGAATGGAGGAAAAGGGATTGTGGCATGGCCATCATTCCAGGGGGGATGATTTCTCACTTTCTCTCTCCAGCAAGTACATGTACACTATAGTAAAATTCTCTAAAAAAAAAAAAAAAAAAGCTGATTATCTCCTAAACATTTTAATAAGTTTATGCATAAAGTATGCCTTTCTTTCTTAAAAACAATTCCTGTTACTGACACCAACCTTAAAAATATGTGCTAGGGGGCCAGCAGGTGGAATGGTATGGTAGTTAAAGTAGCTGGACTCCCACATGGCTGACCTCAGTTTGAGTCCTGAACCTGACAGCTTACTTTCTCACTTTCCCACTTTATCTCTGTCTGTCTCTGGTCAACTTTAAAAATAATAATAATAAATGACAATGAATAAAATTTTTAAAAAAAGAAAGAAAAAATGTACCAGGAACACATTAGCTCATTTTATCCTCATAACAGCATATGAAATAGATATTATCTCTGTTTTACAGAAAAGAAACAAAGTCCCACATTACACAACTTGCCTCAGTTCATTGTTACAGTAGGGACTGGAGCCCAATTTTAATGTGAGCCATGGGATTCAATGTCATTTGTAACCACACTAATATATGGCCTCTTAGCATTAATGAGAGTAGGTTGTATGTTATACTCTTGGAGAATACTTGGAACTCCAGAAAAGAACAAATCTTTGAGTATTTCAGTGTGTTTTTGAATCGTGTCCTGTATGCAGTAACTCTCTGTGAATGTTAAATGAATGAACTCTTTTTTTCTTTTGAAGATGTGAAAGGTCCTAAAAAGCTCTTTCCAGATCTCCCATTCGGAAACATGGACAGTGACAGAGTAGAAGCCCGTAAGAGCCTCCTGGAATCATTTCTGAAGGTTAGCATCCTTTCACTTTTGCTTTACGTACTTCCTAACCCCAGACACCCATGCCCAAATGGAGAGTCCAGAGACTGAAATTTCTCTAAAATTCTTCTTGTGTCTTACTTTTGCAGCAACTCTGTGCCATTCCTGAGATCACTAACAGTGAGGAGATGCAGGAGTTCCTTGCTCTGAACACAGATGCTCGTATTGCCTTTGTCAAGAAGCCGTTCATGGTCTCTAGAATAGACAAGGTACCAGCAGGGCCATTGTGCTCAGCTCTAGTTTCTATAAATGTGGACTGTTCATCAGAATGGAGGCAGGGCTTGAAAAACTAAGGAAGGTGGGATGAGGGAGACAGCACAGAGGAGTCGGCAGAGCATAGATTAGAATTTTTAAGACCCTTTTCAAATGCCAGCTTTTCAGCATGAGTCTGACTCCCTCTTCTCATCTAGGCTTGGGGGACAAAATAAATTGGAATTCCATGCAGTATGTGTTAGGAGACATCCAGTGCTGTATGGGGAAACCTGCAAACTAGAAAGGGATCAACTAGATAAAACCCTGGGTCCATGCAGATGTATTCTTTCATTGGTTCTTTTGACATCTGCTTACTGGGTGCCCATTTTGAGCCTGGAATCATACCAGTTACTGGAAGTACAGCAGTGGACAAGACAGGAGAGCCCTATCGATGAAAATTTTATGAGCCTGTAGAACAAGATCTTGTGATCATGTCATCCTCTGTTGCCGGGGTCCAGCCTCGGCGTGGGTGGGTTATCTCGACGGAGGCGGCGCTGGAAAGAAAGGAAGACTAAGGCCTCGATGCTTTTCATGCACGTCCTTAGCCGGACACTCCCAGAGATCGCTCTCTGAGAAGTGACAACTGCTAGGAATCATCGTGCCTTTTTATTGAAAATGTGATACATGCAAGTAAATGGGTGAGGGGCAGTAAAAGATTTACTCTAAGGAACAGGGTATACAAAGCATGGAAGCAATAATTATAAAACATGCTGTTTGTCTTGTTAGCTCAGGTAAAGTCAATCACAGTTCTCAGGATGAGGAAGTCCATTTGTCTGCTGTATCTTCTTCTTGGATCTTGATTACTGGGAAGAGTCTTTTGAAGAGGGGGCTTGCAGGATGTTTGACAACTTCAGTCCCGGGCCAGGGCGATAACGTTGCTGGTTACAATGACCTAGATGGAAATCTTGTCTTGCTAAGTAAAGACACAGTTAATATATGGACTATCTATACATTACAACAATAGAGGGTGAGTCTATGATCTTATATGGGAAAGGAAGATGATCTTGTAGCTCCGGAGACAACACAGGATGTTTTATTAGCAGTTTTTCATAGTCAACAGCACATAGATGAGAAACTCTTTGTAGTTGAAAGCTACCTGTTGCTTTAGATAAGAACTCCCAGCTAAAATGGTTAATCTTTCTGTGGAGCCCTCAGCTTTGTTTATTCTGTTGTCCCATCCAGGCTTTTTCCTCTAATAAATCTGTGGGTTCCTGCATTTTGTTTGTTGAGTCTTGTCAATTAGTGAGTTCTTTTGTTTTAACTCTGAGTCTCTGTTATGTGGTGAATGTGCTGACTTTGCTAGTGTGAGTTAACTTTGGCCTGTAGCTTTAACAAGGGGTATGTAAGTAAAACTAACCTTAAACTAACTTAGTCTACATATGCTTCTAATGTTAATTTGGTTTATACTAACTTAATCTATATGTTAATTTTGACTTAAAAACAGACAGGTGGGGGAGTCTTAAACTTCCTGATCCTCTTGTCAGTCTTAGGGAACCACATTCCTACAAGATCACTAATTGGCTTTATTGCAATGGGTTGAGGGTGATGTTTTACCCTTACAGGGTACAGTAATAACAGTAAAACTCATGGCAGAGAAATTGAATACCGGCCAGTTCAAGGACACAAGGGAGAGCTCGTAAACTGGGCCTTGCCTCAGTTTCTTCCCAGTCCAGGCCTTGCCTTAGAATGGGAGGCAGCATCCTTACCAGCTTGTGTTGCCTGCATGGCCCCGTCACTCTGTGATCATGTCATCCTCTGTGTTCTGTCCCCGATTTGCTCTCCCCTAGACTTTACTGTCATTTTATTGGCCACTTCAGCTAAGCAGAACTGTGGTCCTGGGGAAGTTTATGAAGAATGAGTTAAAGGAGGTGTGTCACTCCTTCGAGCCAGGGTTGCTAATTAGTAAGAACATCAGAAGAAATGTCAGTGTTCGCTTCCCTTTCTTTGATATGGGAGGGTTTCATTTCTTTGTGTGTTTCCCTTTCTAACAGATATCTGTATATCATTTTTCCACTTGAGGGATATTCTTATTCTTCAATGAAGATTAATTATTTGGATTATTTTATTTGTATTAGTGAAGATTATTTTATTCTCTGTAAATAGAGAAGTTTATATTAACTCTAGATAATTTTTGACCTGAATGATTTTTATTATTCTTTCTGCACTTAGAGAAATACCAGCTCTTCGCTCTGTGAATTACTCTAAGCATGTTGTTATTTACACCCTTAGAGTTTATTTTTTTATTTATTGTCTTCTTTATTCTTCCTTTCCTCCTTATACTCCTGCCTCTGTTACTTCCATATAGTCACATCTTGGCAGAGGAATTCTCTATTTGGAAATTAGAAATCACCTTTTTATATCAAAAGAAAACAATTGAAAATGAAGTTACTTTCTCAGGCCACAAAACTCCTAGGTTTTTATTTATCCTACATTTGGGCTTATTTTCCCATGGCATTGTTCATCTTTACGGTGAGGAAGATTCCTTTGGCCATTGAGAGAAGAAGCGGAGAGAGAAGAAGATAGCTTCCTCTCGCTACGTCATCGGCTGGTATTTGACTTTCCTGATGGGTAATGCTCTGCTGGATAAAACGCTGTGCCTGTCCTACTGCATAGAGCTGTGAAATTACTGCCTATTTAGTCGTTTGCATCCGAGCTGTGAATAGCCCTTTCTGACCCTGTATCTCTGACCCCTACAGATGGTGGTGAGTGCTATTGTGGACACACTGAAGACAGCGTTCCCTCGCTCTGAACCCCAGAGCCCCACAGAGGAGCTGAGTGAGGCTGAGACTGAAAGCAAGTCCCAGACAGAAAGCAAGAAGGCCAGCAAGTGAGAAGCCCTTCAGTCACCCAGAGGCCCTTCCCAGTTCTCAGGCTGATCCCCAGCCCTCCAGCAAAGCCTTAGAAAAGAGGATGTGGTGGTGCACACCAGATTTTAGGTTAAGCCAGCCCCCGGCTCTCCTCCTGTGCTCTGCCCAGAAGGGTTGAAGGGGTGGCAGAGGCAGCTTTGCTAAATGTTTGCTTTTGCCATAGGAACCTAGGCCCAGCTGACAAGGGATTCTGGACCAGAAGGAAGACATAAGACTATGGATGTTCTCTTTCTGTTTTCCTGAGAAGTTAAGATGATTCTTTCTAAGAACTAAGACTTATAACTGATCTGTTTGCCATCATTTCTTGGCTCAGCAATTTAATAGGAAAGGGCAGGCCAGCAGGTGCCATGGAAGTTAAGGTGCTGGATCCCATATGGCAAACTCCACAGTTCAAGTCCCAAACCTGGCAGCTTAAAAATCATTCTAGGCCCATATGTGTGTGCATGCCCAAAATCCTGAGAGGAGACTGGAGGAGAAGGAATTGCGGAATTATCATCCCCCCAAGGGTGATTTCTTGCTTTTCCTCTCTCTCTTTGTCTCTCTGTTTTTCCCTCTAGAATGCACACACCCCTTAGCAACCTGAAATAAATAAGTAAAAATGGGAAAGGGTTAGAATGGAAACTGTAGGGTCTTTCTCAGTGACCAGTGATGCTCTAGGGTCCCAGCTGTTCCCTGGCAGCACTCGACGCTGACATGTGGAAGGAAAGAGCTCACACTCGCCCTTACTGGAAATCTCTTCTGTATCTGGCCTTTGTGAGGAAAGAGAAAGCTTGTGTGCACGTGTGTCTGCCTCTCTGTCTACCCATCTGTTCTGTCAACAGCAGCCCCACAGTATTTAGCCTTTCACTAACTGGGCTAACATTCTGGAGAGTGGCCGTGGTGTCCTTGCTTGAGTCCCTGCTCCCTGAAATTCGGACGTGATCACTGGCAGTTCTTTTTCTGGTTTTACTTGGCATAGGGCGGGCACCACCATGCCCTTTCTGGTTTTACTTGGAACAAAAGGAGAATAAATGGATGACCCAGAAGGGTACTAACAACAGGTTTTGTCATAAGGCATGTGCACCCACTGGAGAGAAAGAGAGAGAGGCAGAGACCGTGAGAGGGAAAGTGAGAAATCAGCCCTCCAGGGGGGCTGGCCATGCCATAATCCCTTCTCCATTCTTCTCCTGAGATCATGGGGTTTTTGAAGCCACAGAGTCCAGGACTCTCGTCACAATCGGCCAGGCGGGAGTCCAACAGCATAACCGCTCTGCCATCTGCTAGCCCCTTTAGTGGGTTTTAAATGAGTGTGTAGTGTGTGCTCACCGCTCTTCTTGTCTGTGGGACCGTACCTACAATGGACTGGTCCCTATTGGATTTGGAAAAGCCCCTTCACAGGTGCGCCATAGATACAGCTTGGGGTAGCAGTTGTCTTACTGTCTACTAAGGATTGCCAGAAAGTACCAAGCGTTAGCACAGAGGTAAAAGATGGTGCTCTGCATGTTGACCCTCGTGGGAAGGTTCTGGGTTAGCATCTGGAAACAACCTTGAGCATGCAGGGCCTGCACTTACGATTCAGGCCTGGCTAAGGCTAGGGGTTGATTGCAACGTCAAGACCCTGTCTGGGTGCACTCGTCTGTCTTTCTGTCTCTCTGTCATAGGGGAAATAAACAAATAAGCTTAAAAAAAACTCCTGAATATATATTTTGGGTGGCATTTCAGGACTAAGTCTTCCCTGGCAAACCAGACCACAGTAATCTCTTATGAGTAAATATGGGTGTTCTTGTTTTGAAGTGTCAATACCATCTAGTCCTTTGAATGGGGATCGAGACCTTGAATTACATTCTGTCTCTGCCTTGTGTACCAGGTCCAGACTGAGGTTCTCATCCAGTAAAATTGCTCCAGCATTGAGTGTGACTGAAACACACGACAAGGTTCTCTATTGTCTCCAGGAAGCCAATGTGGTAAGGAAAAGCCCAGAGAACTTCTGGAGTTGAGATATGGGATGTTGATCCTATAGTTACAGGCGGCTGAGACGTTCTCTAAAGTCAGTAAGGATGTACATATTCTGCTAAAGGCCTTAACTAACATTGGGTTTCTGATTTTTATGCTAAAAGTATTTTCTTTGAGTGGATTGGAATTGCTCCAAGTTCTGGGATGGCAGTTGGCTTCTCAAGGGTCATGGATTTGGGATGGTGGGTGACAGGGGAGAAAGAAAGCCTATTGCTGAAAGAGAGCAGGTGACCTAAAAATGTGTGTAGAAATGAGAATCCAGGGCAGGCTTGTTTCCCTTGCAACTTGGGTAGAAATAAAGCCCTACTGCGGTGACCACAGAGTCGGCGGTTCTACACCTGTGGCACTCGTGTTGGGTGAGGAGGGAAAACCACAAGGGCTTCCTTTGCTCTCTTGCTCTCTGTGCTGAGTGATACGTTGCTGGTATCTCTTCAGGAGTCAGAGGTCTTGTCCATGTCTGGGATGGAGTCCTTTATTGAACAACAGACAAAGTCACTGGAAATGCAGCCAACAGAAGCCCCAGAAAAAGATCCTCAACAAATCCCCGAAGGTGATGTGGATGGCTGCTTGTCAGGTGCTGCCAAGCTAGCCCAAGACCTTAGCCACAGTGACTCAGGTGAGTGACAAGCCCTCTGCACAGAGCCACAGCAAAGAGCCAGGGTGAAGTCCACTTGGGACGTGGGATAGTTGGTCTTTGCAGCTCTGACTTCCGTCATGTTGAACCAGCGAGCCATGTGTTGAGCACCGCATTAGTGGAAGGGCTGTGCTGAGTGCTGAGCGCTGAGCGCTGAGCACAGAGCACAGAGATGCGCAGGACACGATCCCCAGAGCCAGCACGAGCCATGGGGCCAGGCATAGGCACAGAGATTTCTGACCCAGCAGGAAAAGATTCAGCCTCATGGGGTCAACATCTTAGTGATTTTTGGCCTGTTTTGGCATATGAGACCACTGCCTTCACCTAGAAACCTTCTTCCCGTGGTGTCTGTGGTGCCACTCCCTTGGTTTCTTTCTGCCTTTCCTGTAGCTTCCCATCAGTCTCCTTTGTGGGCTCCCTTCTCTGTAGCTCTCCATTCTGATTCCTCTCTAGTGATGCCATTCAAGGTATCACTGCAGCTCCAACACGTGGGCCAACAACAATGCCTCAGAGTTGGCTGTCATGTGTTGCCGCAGGGCAGCTGAAACATGGCATATTCAAATAGAATCATCTTTCCCCAGATAGATCCCTTCTGCCTCATTTCCTGCCACGGCTGATGCTACCATGGTTACCATGGAGTGTGTAAGTCTACAGGAGGATCCACTCCCAGCTTAGAAGCACTGGAAGCAGGGCAAATCTGCTTCCTTGTAGGAAAATAGCACATGCATTCTACAGAGGAAAGTTTCAAAGCCCTGGGTATTAGTATATTTGCTGAATCAAAACTTAGAAGGAGGTTTATCAATTCAACCAATTCAGAGGCCTCTGCTGAGAATTTAAAAATAGCAAAATCATGGATTCAAAAGAAAATAAAAAGGATTTCACTACTGTCTCTTGGGTACCCATGAACAAATTACTTCTGCTCTGTGGGCAGTAAAGTACGTGAAAAACAGGCCTTACAATCCCTTCCCTTCACACACCTCCATCTGGGTAAGTAAATGAAGAGGGATGACAGCAAAAGCATCAGAGAGCACAAAGAAACTGCAAATAAGAGGGACGGCTCAAATACTGTCATCTAGCCGAAGTCCAGCCTGTGCATTCTGAACAGCATCTCTCAAAGGGGATATAGTATTGTGGCTGAGCACTTCTGCCTGAGGCTCAAAGGCTCATGTATACAAGACGTGCCTCGTGTGCCTTCTCTTGTTTTTGTTTTTACTGCTATGACTGATTGTTACCACATGGTGGCAGCTCCACACAAATGCTACACCTGAGAAAATTATAGAATCGAGGTAGCTGAGGCTCAGGAGGATGCTATTTCCCAAGAAACAGAATAAGCAAAGACACAGAATCTAATAACACATCATTCTTGAGCAAAGATGGAACATCTAAGAACACATCACCTCCCAGGCCCCCTTGAAATACAGTGCAGAGAGGAGACTAGGCGCGGCGTGAGGTTAAGGGAGTGTGGTTCAGTTCCAGCTGGTTGTCCCAGTCTGGGATCATTCTGTTCTAAGCCCTTGAAGGAGAAAAGCTTGGTCATGCTAGCCCTGAGAATACCCCCTGGTTCTAGACTATAGAGCTATGGCTGATGATTAATTATAGTATCCATCACAGCAATAGCATCAGATCGCTCATAATCACTTTGGAACAAAATCAGAAGGGGCACGGGACTGGCCTGCTGGCTCAGTGGTAGCAGCAGAACTACAGTGCTGGAAGCCACATGGCGGATCACAGGTTCAGATCCTTGGATCAGCTTGAAAGCATGCCGAGTGCACGTGTGCCCACAGTCCTGAGGAGCTGGAGGGCTGGGGAAAGGGATCCCAGTGTGGTAAGATCCTGCTGATGCTTCTCTCTCTTTCTCTCCCCACTCCTTCTCTCTTTTATACACACACGTGTTTATTCTTTATCATGAATAAAATGGATAAACTTTAAATAAATAAATGACATGAGTCCCCACAAAACATTTTTGGAAAACAGATGCTTTGCTCCATAAAATATACATGTTCAGGAAACTTTAGCTTAGCATGGGTATGGGCTCATTTATGCCGTTCTAGTCTTTACAATGGGAAGGAAATCAGTAGGCCCAGCTCCTGTGGTGTGTGCTTATAAGGGGCTGCTGCTGTACCAATGAGGTCACGTGGGAGATGTGGGTCTGATTCCTGGCTCAACCAAAAGGCTGGGTGTCATGGTGCACACCTAGAGTCTCAGCTCTCTGAAAACTGAGGTGGGAGGATCATGACAGAGCAAGGGAGTGGGGCGTGCCCAGCTGAGCGGCACAGGCCATAGCATCCTAGACCTCCATGCTGGGAGCCACACGGCCAGCCCTGGGTGGGCCTGAAAGCACAGCGGGCGCATGTGTAGAGACGTGAGCTCCGAGGAGCTGGCGGGCTAGGGAAAAAGCACGCAGAGTGATGACACCAGGTGCTTTCTCTCTGTCTCTCTCTTCTTGTGTGCATGCACATTGTCATAAAAAATGAAATCAGCAAGTATCATGGCATTTAACCACAGATGTGATGCTCTCATGAGAACTACATGTTACCTCAATCACTCTGAAGCTTCCTAAATCCCAACCCCATAGCTTTCTGTAATCAAAGTGCTTTCAAAGTAAGCTGGGAGTTTTTTGTTTAGTTTTTTTGCTGTAGGGCACATGTGCTTGCCAGAGAGCAAGGGAAAGTAAGAGATCACCCTCAGGAGGACTGGCCATGCCGTGGTCCCTTCTTTCCCCTTTTGGGATTTTGGGCTTGCACACACATTCATTCACCTTGCAGGATCCAGCACCTGAACCACCATGCCATCTGCTACCCCTGCAAGGTTTTTCAGGAGAATAAAACCCGGATTTTCCCCCAGATCTTCCCATGACATTTGCAATGGTGCTTTGTGGGGGTGAGTGGAATGCAAGGGAGGAAGAGATGAGGCTTTGCCAGCTCCACTTTGTCACCAGCTGTGAGCTCTTACTTGGAATAGAATGTATTCAGCATCCTGGGAAGATATGGAAGAAACAGAAGCGAGTAGGCAAAATAATTACATACAAAACTTCTTAATAAGATAACAGTATTTACTAGGTGATGAAATATTGGGAACATAAACAACAGAATTATAAAGAAATGTGGAGCCTTTCACCGAGCTCTCCAGATGTGAAGTAAACGTCTTTTGAACTGAGTACAGAGGGTGGTGGGAGTACAAGATGTTTGGCATGAAGGTGGCAAAGACCCAGGTGCCACCGAGTGCGTTGGAAGATTTCCTGAAGTATGGATGGGCCTCGTCTGAGCTATTTTGATGTCTTGTGTCTCCCAGGAATAGAGACAGAGCTAGCTGATACAGCTCTGGATCTGCTTCTCCTGCTGCTAATGGAACAGTGGAAATGGCTATGTACTGAACACATGCAGAAATGCCTTCGACTTGTCTTTGGGACCTTGGTTCAGAGGTAAGACTGCGAGTTCTCCTTCACACCAGCAGCTCAGCTGCACAGACCCTGGGTGCGGTGCTGAATCCTGCACTCGAAGGTGAGTGCAGAGCACAGGAACCCATGGCCATAGACAGCACAGTGCGTGGGTACGTGGATGAAGTCGGCCCTGAGAGTGTCAGAGAACTTTTACTATTAATAGCTGCCTTGTTGTCTGCATGTGAGTGTGTCTGGGTCTGGAAGACCTGTGCACAACTTCCCACTGAGATGCCTGTGATCTTGAGTACTTGAGCTGAGCCCTTCCTGCTTTGCGATCAGTTCTCACCCAGCTGTATGCCGAGCCCGGTTCCTTTCACCCTCTTACCCGGACACTGTCTTAACTGACAACATGTAGTCACTGTGGGGATAAACAGAAAGAAGGAGAACACAGCTCAGTGCTCTTAAAGATGATTTTCTCTGACGGGGTACCACTAGTCACAACTGAGAAGTGCTTCCTGACAGGATGTAAAGGAGAGAGGGCACGTGGGATCTCCTGGGATCTGTACACAGGTGGGTTTGTAGCTGCTGACTTGCTGATCGTGGTACTGACACATGCCTTGCCAGCCTGAAGAAGGAAGCGCCGTCTCTGAGCCAGCTGCACACCTGTGGGTGCTTGCATCTCTCTCAGAGATCGCATGAAGGGAAAGGCCGGATACTGACCTGGCATGCGGGCTCTGCTGATAGGTCACTCAGTGTATCTTCCTTGTAGCTTCAGACGGTTTTCTGAGTAACACCTACATGCAACACGCCGGCTGGGTCCGTATCTTCAGGCTTCCCCTATTGTCTCTGCTCCATCCTCAGCCTTGCCAGGAGCATGCTCTTTTCCAGAAAATCAACTTGAACATATATTCTACACTTAAATTCCTTCAGTGGCTCACTCATTACTCCAGGGTTCAGAGTGTCGGCTGCGGCACTTCCAAGCCAGGCTGCATTTCCAGTCTGTGCTGTTCCTCGTGGAGAGGAGCAGCCGTCTCTGGGCCCGCCTAGGAGGTCTTTGTCCAGGGTATTATGTAGCACTCACCCCAAGATGTATTTTGGTATCATTCCTTTGTTCATTGGAAAAGTACTTGAGGGCTGGTCAATAGTGAACAAAACCGACTTAGTCCCTGTTCTGACAGTTTCAGTTTTAGAGGTTGGAACTGAAGCCCAAGGGCTTAGCGCAGTCACATAGCTAATGAGTGTAGAGCCCAAATTCAAACCCACATGTTCAAAGCCCAAGTTCTGATCTGCAGCAGTGGACTCCGGTTGTTCTTTGACTTTAGTCTCCTTTTCTGGAAAACAGGAATGATGTATCTGTCCCTTTAGGTGTATATAACGTGTCCAGTAAGCGTTAGGTTAATATGTGCTTTTCAGAAAAGGAGAGTACAGGGAACCAGCAGTTAGCGTAATGGCTATGTTGCTGGACTCCCACGTAGTTGACCGCGGTTCGTGTCCGGGTCCCGGTGGCTTAAAACTCACTCTGGGCGCGTGTGCGTGAGTGCCCAAGATCCCGAGAGGAGAATGGAGGAGAAGGGTTTGCGGCGTGACCATCCCCCCCGGGGGGTGATTTCTCGCTTTCTGTCTCTATGTCTCTCTCTCTCTGGCGAGCGCACGCGCCCTACAGTGAAAAT